GGCTGCACAAGGCAGCAAAATAGAGGGAATATAGCAGCACTCACCCCAGCCCCGGCTGCAGCGGCCCCGGGAGTGGCCGGCGCCAGCTGCCTGCAGCCACTGGGCTGCACCATGCTTTGCCTGTCCCCACTCACTTCTGCTCCTGGGCTGCGCCATGCCCTGGTGCAGTCAGCTGGTGTTGGCTGCTCCTGGGGCCACTGTAGCCAGGACTGGAGTGAGTGCTGTGCCTCGCGCTGTCCAGGGCTTTGCTTGTCTGCATCCACCCCAGCCCGTGCTGGAGTGGCCCCAGGAGCAGCCGACACCAGCTGCCTGCACCATGGCACAGTGCAGCCCAGGAGCTGGGATAAGCCCAGGCGTGGGGGACAGGTAGAGCACGGTGCAGCCCAGCAGCTGCAGGCAGCTGGCACCGACCGCTCCCAGGGCCACTCCAGCACAGACTGGGGTGAGTGGGGCCACAGCTCTTTCCCCTCCCCCCACAGACTCACCTGCTTGGGTGGGGGGGGCATGTATGCTGATTGCATAAAAGCGAATTTACCTCACATATAACAAATTATGGGTCTAAATATGCTCATTGCATAAGAGCGAATTCACATATAATCCACATAAATCAAGGGAAACCTGTATATAGTGGACTTTCATTTTAATCATGGATTTGGGGGTTTTAATCAGAGAATTAGCAATTTTTTATCAGGGAAACCAGGGATCCCTGTATGAGACACTTGCTGATCTGGAGAATTCCAGAGGATGCTTTTAGACCAAATCCTCTTTTTCTTCAAAAGCTTTCTCAGTGTTTTCTCCCCTATATCCCCACAAGTTGTGACCCTTTTCCCACTGCCATTGCAACAGCCTCAAGTAGAAACAACCTATCTTGCGTAACTGTCTTTACATGGGGACACATGTAACCACTGAACTGTTCCAAAATATCAGTGATTGGGAATGAGTTAAGAATTGTCACAGGCTTGCGCAGGCTTCAGGTGTGTCCCAGACCCCTCTGGCAGCTAATCATGCCACAAACTAGTGAGGCTGAGGTGGGGATTTAATAGCAGCCTTCAAGAACCTGAAAGGTGGTTACAAACAGGATGGAGCAAGACTGTTCCCAGTGGTGGCAGATGACAGAACAAGGAGAAATGGTCTCAAGTTGTAGCAAGGGAGGTTTAGGTTGGATATTAGGAAAATCTCTCATGAGGAAGGTAGTAAAACACTGGAACAGGTTACCCCCAGAGATTGTAGAATCTCCATCCTTGGAGGTTTTTAAGACCCAGCTAGACAAAGCCTTGTGTGGGATGATATACTTGGGGATGGTCCTGTTTTGAGCAGGGGTTTGGATTAGATGACCTCCTGAGGTTCCTTGCTACCTTAACTTTCTATGAGTTAAAAAATGGCCATTCAGCTTCTGGCCCTCAGCTGTGCCCTGCACAGGTGCACACTGTGCCTAATATACTTTTGGGGCCCCATGCCCTGTCCACTATGCAACCTGGAGAAACCATGTGTCTCCCTGCTGCACTGTGTCAGTGCCCCTGCACTGTGTGGGGTCCTTGGGTCCCCTTGGAGCCCCAGGGCCATGGGCTCCCTTAGGGCTGCTCCACCCTGTCAGGGATGGGAGTACAGGAAGTGGAAGCTGGAAAAGGGAGGGAGAACCTGGAGACTCTATAAATGGTGGGAATAGTGCCAAGATTAGGAGCTCAGGGGCTTTAGGTTAACCCCGTGGTGGCTAAGTGCACCTCACACACAACCAGTTGGACAGCCCTGAGTTAAAAGAAAATCAGTATGAGGGAGTCTTGGCTTTTGAGGTTAGCAATTTACAGGATCAGGCTCTTAACTGGATACTAACAACTTAAAATTCATGTTTCTGTCTAAATCTTTTTGAACCTGCTTTTTTTAAAAAAATAGCCTCCAAAACGATTAAATTGTAGAGAGAAGCTGTTTTTGTCTAAGTGCATTCAATACCACTGGCTGACTGTGCAGGCAGTCATCTTCCTTTCTGGCTGAATAGCTCTT